TTGATCACTTGACTTCCCGTTAATCATCAATTTGCTCAAGTGGGTGCCAGTAATTTCTCCATTTGTCCCTGTCACATACTAGTGTAGATCAATGGCGTCTGTTTGTTCTAGGAACATGAAGAGCCTCAAACCGATCGTTCAGGGTCTTGACGAAGAAGTCTGACCATCTGGTAGGTGGGCAGCTATGCGGTCTTTTGACATCCCCTGGAATCCAGTTGGTAATGGCTCTAGTCCAGCGGTCATCTCCAAATCTCATTACATGTCCAGCCCATCTGATTTTCGATGCCTTGGCAAATGAGACAGCGTCCCTGATTCCTGACCATTGATGGAGGTTGGAACTCCAGATTCTTTCTCTCATAGAATAGATAGCTTTAGGACTTTGAAATTCTTCATTTTCTTAAGTCTGGGAATGCATAGCTAAATCTAAGGTGACCCTAAATCTGTAGAGACCTGCAGAAAGAATACCTGCTTGAAAAAGATATTCAAGGTATTCAAATTGCTGAAAGCTTATTTGAATTAAAATGGTCATTTGAAGGCCCTGGAGATAGCTCAAAGGGCTAGTGGTGTGCTCTGCATGCAGGAGGCCTGGGTTTGACCCCCAGCCACAGAGGGTTCCCTGACCCCTGGAGGACTGACCTCATACGGTTCCCAAACAAAAAAGGAAAATAGTATTATGACATTTCAAGTGGATGCAGATTCATTCTTAATTAATTGGTGAAATTTAATAAGTTAGCACCCTCTGTGGATAAAAAAAAAATCAGGAAAGAATATAAAAGAAAGGAGGTAAGATAATCTAGGGGTTGAGAAAATTAATTTCGGAAATAAAACAGGTCTGTGTGTGAATTGTGTGTGTCTGGCTATCAGTGAATTCCATACCCCAGATTTCTAAGCTAGTAAAGGGAGGTAAGCATTCCAGAGTGGCTTGGCAAGAGTTTAATTAGATCATTATCTAAGATGTTTATAACAGAAAACAATAAAACATTTATAAGAGTAATACAGTGCTATTGATCTCACTAGTTACTACCTGAGGCAAATCCGATAAACATAAACACATACACACAGGTAAAAATGCACAGCACGCTGAAAGTAGACTATAGACCAAACATGATTGCCACTCAGTGCCTCTCTTGCAAACCACAGCACCCAAAAGGAGAGAGAGAATAGAAGGGAATGCCCTGCCACAGAGGCAGGGTGGGATGGGGGAGGGGATGGGGGGTGGGAGGGATGCTGGGACCTGTGGTGGTGGAGGATGGGCACTGGTGGAGGCATGGGTACTTGATCATTGTATAACTGCAACCCAAGCACAAAAATTTGTAAGTCTATAACTGTACCTCGCGGTGTTTCACAAATAAATAAATAAATAAAAATTTAAAAAAATTTAAAAAAAGCACAGTACTGAGCAAGTTTCACATTTTCTGATGCATTACTTATAAAAATGTCATGAAAATGCATCTAAACTTGTTTTAAAATGATCCCAGGGATATATATAGAAAGAGGATATATATATATTTACATATATACACAAAGATATGTGTGTACACATATGTATGTGTGTATATATAGAGAGAGACAGACAGACAGACAGACAGAGTCATTTAGTCTTTTTTTACTAAAGGTAAAAGCTGAGTAAAGACAAGCAGTGCAGGAAAGACTCGTGTGGTTGTCTGGGAAAGAGCATTTCCTGTGGAGAGGCAGCTGGTATGAAGTGCTGACAGGACAGTAGACGATGTCTGGAGATCAGCCAAGAGGGGCACGTGACTACAGTGGAGTAAGGGAGGCAGATGCCGTTCATAGAGAGAGATTTGGGAGATATACCAGGATACAGGAGGGGCAAGTCTTATAGAAACTGGTAGGTCTGTGTGAAGACTTTAGACTCTACTAAACCATGCAGGACAGTGTTAGCAGTCTGGAACTAATGAATAACACAACCAAGTGTCTGTATTAAAAGAATTACTCTGAGATCAGACAGACAGTACAGGGGTTAAGAAACTTGCCTTGTCAGCTCAGATAGAGAAGGGAGCACCAAATACAGGGTGTTTGGAGGATCCTCCCAGGATGGACCGAACATGTTGAAAGTAGACTATGGACCAAACATGATTGCCACTCAATGCCTCTTTTGCAAAGCAATGCTATACTATCACTCTGACCCTAATTTCCTCTGACCTAGATGAGGAGCAGGCAAAGGAGGGGTGGGTTTGGGAGGCAATATGTGTGTCTGTGTTGGGATCTTGAAGCTTGCAAGCATCTAAATGAGAACATGGTCATGAGAAAGAGGAGTCTGGAGTTGGTGAGCAGTTGGGGCTGGATAAGCACATTGGGGCATCATCAGGCTATCACATGGTGTTGGGCAATGAGACTGGATGAAATGACAAAGGCAATGAGAGGAGAAAACAACAGGAGATCCGGGCAGAATTAGGCAATGCCCTTGAGTTCAGGGGTCAGAGAAAAAATAAGAAAAACATCTCCAGATACGGGGGAGGCCAGTCAGTGTAAGTCCTGGAAAGCCAGTGGCAGGGAACTAAGAGAAGTGTGAGCAGGGCTTTTAAGGTCAAAGAGGAGTTTGTTAGGATTCTGGAGGCATGTTTTAATGCTAGCAGCATCAGCACCCAGCATCTGAAATTTGTTAGAAAGGTGCCAATCTTGGGCCCCAACCTAGGTCTACACAGGCAGACACTCTTCAGGGTCTATTATACGTAATCAAGTTTGGAAACCACGGCCTTTGTATGCCAAATCAGAGGATTATGCTGGCCCTGCTTTCCTTCTTTTCTTTTCTTTTCTTTTCTTTTCTTTTCTTTTCTCTTTTCTTTTCTTTTTCTTTTCTTTTCTTTTCTCTTTTCTTTTCTTTTTTCTTTTCTTTTTTCTTCTCTTCTTTTCTTTTCTTTCTTTTTTTCCTTTGGGGTTGGGGACCACACCAGGTGGTGCTCCAGGTTTACTTCTGACTCTTTGCTCAGGGATCAGTCCTGGAGGTACTCAGGGGACCATATGTGTTGCCCAGGATCAAACTAGTGTCCACTGCATGCAAGATAAACACCTTATCCTCTGTCCTATCTCTCCAGCCTCCTTTTTAATTTCCTTTACTGAGGAGGACACTGGGGTTGGGCAGGGGTGGGACCGTAGCTTCACTTAGTCTTGAGGCCTCTCCTTCAATTTTCCCTCTGTCCAACGTGACTCCCAAGGAACTGGGAGGACCCTGTGGTACTCGGATTGTATACTTGGGGTTGGCCTAATGCAGGCATGCACATTAACTCCTTGTTACCCACCTGGAAGATAATGCTTTTGTTTGTTTTTCAGTTTTGGGATCACAGGCTCCGATGCTCAGGGATTACTCCTGCCCTTGCACTCAGGAATCACTCCTGGCAGTGCTCAGGAGACCATATGGGATGCCAGGGAAAGGACCCTGGTTGGGAAAGTGCACGGCAAGCACCTTCCCTGCTGTACTGTCATCTCTCCAGCCCCAGGCAGAGAATGTTTTTAAAAAACTCAATACTCAGGAGTGGAGAGTTAGCACAGCGGGTAGGTCGTTTGCCTTGCATGTGACCGACCCGGGTTCGATTCCCAGCATCCCGTATGGTTCCCTGAGCACCGCCAGGAGTAACTCCTGAGTGCAGAGCCAGGAGTAACCCCTGTGCATCGCCAGGTGTGATCCCCCCCCTAAAAAAAGACTCAGAGCGAGTACTCAGAGCGAATCTGTAGCAAGTGGGTACCTCTCAGCAACCCCTTCCTCAACATCCTTCCCCTAACCCGCCCCCACACCCCAACTTAGAAACCTCTCACTAATTTGTCAAGCCCCCCCTGGAGAGGTTAAATGCCTTATGCTCCACTGGACAGAGGGAATGCAGAGCTCCAGTCATGCCAAACGTTCTGCTGGTGAAACAGGGCGAGGCAGGGGTTGGTGTGGACAAGGGATATGGCTCAACGGTACAGCACATGCCTTGCATGCATGACACCTGGTCTTTATCCCGGCACCCGGGGAGAAGAAATCAAACTAAACTAAAGACGGGGACTGGGGGATGGCGCACTCCAAGATTAGTTGACACTGAAATGCCAGTGCTAGAAAACTCATCGCACCCAAGAATTCCAAATTTTCCTCTGGTTCCTCCTCGGATCATCCCACCTTCCTTCTTCCTTCCATTCTGGGAAGAAGTTAAATTTAGGTCCAGTCCCGCTGGACTCTGCCAGATGCCGAGAGGCCCAGAAATAATCTGGTTCCCACCGCGGCGGTGGACGCCCCGGGGGTGAGAGTTGGGAGGGGGGCGTCGGTAGCCCCAGGCGGGCTACTGCAAGACCTGCCCCCGCCGCATCCAAACGTCTCCCAAGCGTTAAAACCCAAGCCCGAGCGCCCCGACCTCGCCTCTCTCCCCGCCTGTCCTGGCTGGCTTTCTCCAAGCCTGCAGCTGTCTCCTCCCCGCCCAGGACCAGCTGTGCGGCCGGCGGGCTTCACTTGGGACGCGATCCGACGCGCGGCTGCACCCGGGGAGCAGCGCGCCCCACGCTGGCACCTCCAGCTCTCGCTTGGCAGAGCGCGGGGCAGCTCCCGGTGCGCGCCTGGCCTGGGTCCTGTCGCCCCAACCTCGCACGCTCCCTTCCACCCGGGTCCGCTCAGCCTGCACCCTTTCCCCGGCCTCCTCCCCAAGCAACATCATGTTATTCTGGAGCGTCCTCCTGGCAGTGGAAGGTAAGGTCCGGGCACCTTCGGGGGGCGCGCTCCTGGGGACCCGCTCACTCTCCGGGCGTCCCGGCAGCTGAGCGGGCTCGCCTTTCTCCAATAACCTCGCCTGATTTATTCGATGCGCCTCTTCCTCTCCATCTCCTCTCCCCATCCCCAAACAACCCTGCGGGGTCGGGGTGGGTGGCAGGGGGTCGTAGGTGACGAAACGCGCAGTGGAGAGTGGACCGTTGGGCATCCCTCCCCTGCCCGTTCCCACCACAGGTAGGATCCCCCCCGCGCCCGCGCCCCAAGTTGGTTAAGTTGGTGCCAACTCCCTGCTTGCACGAACTGAAACTCGTTTTGTGCCCACACAGCCCTGCAACTTGCGGGCGCCCGGGAGTTGCCCGCGGGCTCCTGCGCCTTTGAAGAGGGCACGTGTGACTTTGACTCCGAGTCCGAGTTCCTGCCGTGGATCTTAAATGAGGAAGGTAAGGGACTTCGCCGGGAGAGGAGATGAACTCTCTGCCCTGCCACCTTGGCTCTTTCCGTGGGTAAAATGAGCCTGAAGGTCAGACCCTAATGGGCGAGAAGGAAAGCCTCCAGGCCACGTTCAGCGGAGCAGCAGGAGGGAGGAGGGAGCGGGGAGGATGAGGAGTGGCAGCCTTTGTTTACCCAGCCTGGAGGTAGAAGCTTGTTCCTCCCCCAACAGCGCTCCTTAACAACCAGAAGATGACTCAAAGGAGGTGACTGTTTCCCACCAACTCTGTGCCTCCCACCTCAGGGATCCTCAGACACATACATACCCTTTTGGCAAAGTGGGGTATGCAGGTTCTCTTCCTGCCGGTGAAAAATGGTCCTGTAACGCGAGGATGGGACCTCCAGCTAAAATCTCACGTGTATGTTGTGTCTGTTTGGTTGCCTAGTTTCAATCCATGGCCATGTGCCTGGGGTCACTCAGCTGGTGGCATGGGTCTTGTGTTCTGGACACTTACCATCTGGGTTCTGGTGACAAAGTTGAATCTGGGATCTTCTGTGTCTTTTAACTCTTCCTTGAACTTGTACAGATACAGGTTATTTTCCAGCAAAAGGCACTGGGAATCCTGTCTTTTCCCCCTCAATTTTAAGTCTGGGACAAAGGAAGTAAGCAGCTGGCTTCCTGAGCTTTCTCCATTGTCCTCTGGTCCCAAAGTATCCATTCAGACTCCCTGGAAAAATCAGAGCCCAGAGCCCCTGGTTAGCATCAACTAACCACATTCCCAGCTTACTCTGAGCCTGGTTTCTGTCTGGGCTGTGGAGGTCATTAATTTCTCGACTCTGGCAGGTAGGTGATATTAATCCCAAACTACAGTGAAAGGAAGGTGGTGGCTTAGGATATATGAGTGGATGATTCATTTGACATGGTGTCACTCTGTGGTCAGCTGTCAGCAGGCCAGTTTGCAACGATGTTGGAGATAACTAGTATTATTAATCTCTGATGATTGCCCAGTCTGGACCTTTACTAACTTTACTTCCGGTAATGGGGTGAAGGCCATTTTGGATTATGCATGACATGCTGACCTTGCTGATGGACTTCTGATAGTCCCTTGCATTTCCCTCTCTACCACTGTCCCTGACCTGATTTTATGTGAAAGATTTGGGGAGGACCTGGAAGCACCCACACGACTGACTTTGGACCACAGTATGTTCTGCACAACCTTCCTCAAATTCAGCTGCATCCAGACTTACCTGGTCTGCATCTTCAGTGCCATTGCTGGGCTCTACTCTCTGTGTTTGGGTTCAGGATTCAGCAGCTCTGAGATGAGGTCTGAGAATTCCTGTATCTTTTTGTTGTTTGTTTGTTTGGGGGGGGAGGAATACACCTAGAGATGCTTAGGACTCACTCCTGGCTCTGCACTCAGGGATCAGTCTTGGTGGGCTCAAGGGACTGTATGGGCTTCCCAGGGATTTAACCTGGGTCAGCCACATGTAAGGCAAATGATTTATCTTTCCAGCCCATGAAAATTCTTGTTTCTAACAATTCCCAGGTGCTGCCACTGTGGCTGGTCTGGACACCATACTGTGGGAAACCGGCGACCATTACAATATGCACATGTATGCAGGAGCTCATGAGTGTGCACACGTGTGTGCAGGTGTGTCACACACACACACACACACACAATGTTCTAGTGAACCAGAGTTGGCTAGAATGAGGGAGAAAGAACCTCACATCTAGAACAAAAGTCTCCTTAAGTCTTGTGTCCTCAGCATATTCTTGCCTCTCAGTATTCCTGACCCTGCCCCCTAGAAAAGAGTGAACATCCTTCCTTTACTCAGGAATCTCACTGAGCCCTGGAGCCCTCTGGCAGACATGGGGTGGGAAATGGGGGTAGGGACGTCCAGCCTGTCTCCGGTCAGTGGGCAAGCTGCAGCCTGCCTTGCCGCCACCTCCCAGACCACAGGAAGTGCTCTGCTGAGTTGGCATCTTCGACCAGCAGCAGTTAAACAGTGAGTTCAGGGAAAACAGGAAGATGCTTATAGGAAAAGGTGATTATGGTTTAATAGTATAAAGAAAGCACTGTTGCTTTCCTTTCTGTTTTCTTTTTGACTTCCAACGGTCACCGCTTTCTGGCTCCTGGCTTGGTTGGGGGAAGCAAATCCAGTCTCCCCGGAGGGCTCCAGGTGAGGCAGGCAGTTTAGACATCTATCACCACAGATCACATTTTTCAAAGGTCCGAACTTGGACCTCACAGTCCACTCTGGAGGGACTATGTGGTGTGTGTGCCAGCAGCTGTGGTTGACTGCTGAGAAGCCATGGCTAAGAATTTCCGTTATAAACCCATTTCTAGGTTGGTAAAGATAATAAAATTGCTCTTGAAATTTGGCGAACTCTAGCTAGCTTCTCTGCAAATTTACTTCATCTTCCTTGCAGAAATTCTTTGAAGCTAGTTACTTCTGCCTCTGAATGTTGAATGCACTATAGAAAGTTAGAGGTTTTGGAGACATTTGGCCCCTCAGTGTTGGAAACACAAATCGTGCTTTTCCTAAGCTTTCCACCAGTAGGTATATGACCCGTGGAGAGAATGATGTGAATGTTCAGTGAAAGGAACTGAGTAGGTCAATGAATCTGCCAATTAGGATTTTATCACTGGAGAATCAAATCTGAGACAATTACAGAAGTCCCTAATCTCTTCCAGAAATATCTTCCCAGCTGCCCCAAATTTTATATGAGTTATGTTCCCCTGGCTTATTTAGAATATTAGGTCTCTGAATAGCTCAGATTACAATTTCAGTGTTCCTACTTCATGGACATTTTAAAATATGACTTAATCTACATTAGGCATAGAATTTGTAAGTTTTAATAGGAAGGTGTATTGACTTGGGTTGTGTGTAACAATGCAGAGACCCCTAGGGAAGAGGTGGCACCATTCAGGTGAGCCAATGTTGCATCCTGGTCTTGTTCACTTTCTAGTTTTGTCAAATGATTGCCTGGTTTGCTTGATTTTCCATGTTTTTAGGGTTAGTTTTTTTTTTTATTTTAGCAGAATGTCTTTATTTTGCCTAACTTGTAAAGGAAAGTGAGGCTATGTCAGAGTGAGATTTGAACTCACTTCTCAGTTTTAAGCTTAAATTAAACCCAGGAAAGAAGAGATCCTTTAGAAGCTGGCTAGGGTTGAAAAAAATTAAGAAGAGAACCAGTTTATTCTAGAACGATCTTCTTTGTCCGTTTATTTATCCTTTAAAAATAACTTCCTTAGAGGCCACAGAAAAAGTAGTGGTAAGGCACTTGCCTTGCAAGTGGTTAACCAGGTTTGATCCCCAACAAATTACATCATCCTCCTAGCCTGACAGAGTGGTCCCTGAGCCAGATTCCTGAGCCCAGCTGAATATGGTCCCCAAACAAAAAAAAAAAACAAAGCAAAAAGACCCTCTAAACCCTCTATTTATTTACTGCTAAAGAAATATTAGGATCTTGTTGAACAATTGTTGAACCAATTCTGGTTTCTCATCTGAAACCAGAACTCCTTTTCCATTCTCTTATTGCCAGCTGTTGGGGGCAGAAGCCCTTTGACTTCAGATTCCTAAACATTATTAGGTTGGCCTTGAATGGAAAGAGTTACAAGTCAAATTAGCCATCAGTAGATTTTTTGACCCCGTTCAAAATTTTGGAAATGTTGACTTAGTAGGTTAAAGGAACCGAACTTCATTTGACAAACTGAGCAAAGGAGAGGAGTAAGGCCCTAATCCCAGTACTCAATGTTAGGTGTTTGAGGGAAGGAAAGTAAGAAATTAAGAAGGGAAAATAAGAAATTCAAAGGATTTCTTCCAAGTGGGAGTGAGGGTTTGAGAGAATTCCCCACACAGGAAGTATCTGGATGACGTTTATACCTGGTTGCCAGTGAGTGAGGCAGTGAGTGAGGCGAGTTCTGAGGGTTAATGTATTAATAAGGTTTAGGGTTGGGAGACTGGGGTGGGGGATGGTTCTGGAATGTGCTGAAGTCATGCCGTAAGTGCATTATGTGTGTCTTTCCACCCCATCTTCTTTTCCACCCAAATTTGTTTCTTTTACTCAATGACACTCGATTACTTGGCCTTATGAGTTTCAGTTCTATGCGTATTGTAATGGGTATTAATCATGATCAGCCCTGCCTGAGGTTTGCAGAGGTGGACCGACTGCCATATCATTTCTCCGGGACCTTCCTCCCTTTCTTGGATAGCAGATCCTTTTCTGACTCTGGGATGTGAGGGTGAGATGGCATTTTGAAATATGACTTAATCTGCATGAGGCATAGAAGTCTTGAGTATTAATAGGACAGAGTATTGGCTTGGGTTGTGCACCACAACACAGAAGACTTCACAGGGGATGAGGTGGCACGATGCAGGTGAGCCATATTACATCCTGATCTTGCATACTTTCAGCATCCCACCCTCACATCCCAGGTACAGAAGGTCATTCCCACCTCAGTGGGCCTGCTTGAACCTGTGTAGCCTCTGTCTGTTAATCTTTACATGCTGCATGAGCAGATAAGCCACTTCGTGATGTGCTGAGGACGAGAGCACAGTTGGATACCCTGGAGTCAATTTTGAAACTTAACATGTTATTCTTGAGTATCACATGACTTACACCAGGTCACCTCAGCTGCTACTGCTGCCAGCTGAGCATGGTATTATGTACTGTGTCCCAGTACAGCTCTGGTTCTTCCTTGGTTCTGCCTGCAATCCTGGAACAGAACCTTATGATTCATCCAGCACAAGCTCATTTCACTGAGGAGAATACTGGGACCCAGCAACCTGCCAGTCATATTCACAGACTAAGACAATGGGGCCTGAAGGCAAGGCCTAGGTGTTTCATCTCTCCCCCTGTTCCTTCCTTCAGTGTTGCTATCAGTCTCCTATTATCCTCTCTCTACTAGGGTCTGGGCTCTGGAGTTTTGATATATTAGATTCTATAACAGATTGGAAACTCTTCATCAAAGATCATATTAAGTTTCATTCAGGTCGAAGAACATGG